AGAAAAATGAACTGACGTTTCTTAAATTAAAACTCAGAAACCCTAATTGAGAAGCAAACCAGAAGTAAAACATTAGCTCTAAAAATAATAATGGTAATTATTTACTTTTTTTTTTTACTATAGCCACTTATAGTCTTACCATATTTGCTTGATTATTAAAAAGAGTAGCAATGTGACAGTGAACTACAGAGAAAACAATTTGAGATTTGTGTCTAGTTTATTGTTTAACCATTCCCTTGTGTAGATTTTGTTGTAAATTGCCATTGATTCTAGATAAGTTTTCCTCATATTAAAAACTTGGAAATGCATCATTAGTTGTTTTTCGTTTTTTAATAGAATTTTTTTGTAGAGAGGAGATCTCCCTATGTTGCCCAGGCAACTTAAACTCCTGAGCTCAAGGGTTTCACCTACCTCGGCCTCCCAAACTGCTGGGATTACAAGCGTAAGCCAACCATACCCCAGTTTTTTTTTTCTTTAGACGGAGTTTTTGCTCTGTTGCCCAGGCTGAAGTGCAATGGCGCTATCTCAGTTTACTGCAGTCTCCGCCTCCTGGGTTCAAGCAATTCTCCTGCCTCAGCCTCCCGAGTAGCTGGGATTACAGGCGCCCACCACCACGCCCGGCTAATTTTTGTACTTTTTTAGTAGAAAGGAGGTTTCACCACGTTGGCCAAGCTGGTCTCCTGCTCTTGACCTCAGGTGATCCACCCACCTTGGCCTCCCAAAGTGCTAAGATTACAGGCATGAGCCATTGCACCCAGCCAATCCTTCCTTAATAAATATCATAGAGGGCCGGGTGCGGTGGCTCACGCCTGTAATCCCAGCACTTTGGGAGGCCGAGGCGGGTGGATCACGAGGTCAACAGATCGAGACCATCCTGGTCAACATGGTGAAACCCCGTCTCTACTAAAACTACAAAAAACTAGCTGGGCATGGTGGCGCGTGCCTGTAGTCCCAGCTACTCAGGAGGCTGAGGCAGGAGAATTGCTTGACCCCAGGAGGCGGAGGTTGCGGTGAGCCGAGATCGCGCCATTGCACTCCAGCCTAGGTAAAAAGAGCGAAACTCCGTCTCCAAAAATAAATAAATAAATAAATATCATAGTATATATCTGCTATATAGCTGAATAGCTAAATATTAAAATCCTCATTAATTTTTTTGGAAGTCTAGAATTCCATTACATCCGAGTGTTTTGACTTGTTTCACTTTCTCCCCCACAGTGTCCATATCTTTTCTCAATACAGACTATATAGAAGTAAGCACTATTAAAATTTACTTGTTCCATACCCTAAACTTAGACAATTAAAAAATAAAAAATCTTGACCAGGCATGCTGGCTCCTACCTGTAATCCCAGCACTTTGGAAGACTAAGGCAGGAGGATTGCTTTAGCCCAAGAATTCAAGACCAGCCTGGACAACATAATGAGACCTTGACTTTAGAGAAGATTAAAAAACAATACCCCAGCATGGTGGTAGGCACCTGTACTACTTAGGAGGACAAGGTGGGAGGATTGCTTGAGCCTAAGGAGTTGAGGCTGCAGTGAACCAAAATCACACCACTGCACTCCAGCCCAGGTAACAGTGAGAAAAAAGTCTGGCCTGGCACAGTGGCTCACACCTGTAATCCCAGTTCTTTGGGAAGATTGCTTGAGCCCAGGCGTTCAAGACCAGCCTGAGCAACATAGTAAGACCCCAAATTTAAAAATTATCTGGGCATGCAGGTACAAACCTGTAATCTTAGCTACTAGGGAGGCTAAGACAGGAGGATCACTTGAGCCCAGGAGGTTGAGGCTGCAGTGAATTATGATTGTGCTCTAGCCTGGGCATCAGAGCAAAACCCTGTCTCTAGAAAACTCTATGGCAACTGGGCACAGTGGCTCACTCCTGTAATCCCAGTACTTGGGGAGACCAAGGCGGGCAGCTCACCTGAGGTCGGGAGTTCAAGACCACCCTGACCAACATAGAGAAACCCCATCTCTACTAAAAATACAAAAAATTAGCCAGGCATGTTGATGCACACCTGTAATTCTAGCTATTCAGGAGGCTGAGGCAGGAGAATCGCTTGAACCCGGGAGGTGGAGGTTGCAGTGAGCCGAGATTGCACCATTGCACTCCAGCCTGGGCGACAGGGTGAGACTACATCCCAAAAAAAAAAAAAAGAAAGAAAACTCTGAAGCAGTCCCTCCTCCTCCCCAACACACCCACTATTTTTTTTCTCTTATTGGAGTATAACATGTTCTCAGAAAAGCACACAGTTTAGGAGTTTGGCCAACATCTATATCAAGACATTGAGTTTTACTAGCATGCTAGAGGCTCCCCTCCCAAAAAGAACACTACTAGACTTTTTTCTTTTCTTCCTTTTTTTTTTTTTTTTTTTTTTTTTTTTTTTTTTAAGATGGGGTTTCACCATGTTGGTGAGGCTGGTCTTGAACTCCTGACCTCAGGTGATCTGCCCCACCCGCCTTGGCCTCCAAAGTGCTTGGATTACAGGCGTGAGCCACCACACCCGGCCTCTCTTCATTTTTTTTCTTAAAAAAAAAGTTTTAATTGTTTTAGAGACAGGGTGTTGTTATGTTGCCCAGATAGGAGTGCAGTGGCTATTCACAGATGTGGCTGTAGCGCACTACAGCCTCCAACTCTTAGCCTCAAGTGATCCTCCACCTGCCTAGTCTCCTGAGTAGCTACAGCCTAGAACCTGACATTTAAACTATAGACAAGTGTTGCCTGGTTTTGAACTTTTTTTTGGAGACAAATTCTTTGTCACCCAGGCTGGAGTGCAATGGCACAATCTCAGCTCACTGCAACCTCCACCTCCTGGCTCAAGTGACCCTCCCTTCTCAGCCTCCCAAGTACCTGGGACTGCAATTATGTGCTACCACACCTGGCTAATTTCTGTATACTTTGTAGAGATGGGGTCTCCCTGTGTTTTCCTGGCTTGTCTTGAACTCCTGTCTCAGCCTCCCAAAGTGCTGGAATTACAGGCGTGAGCCAGCACACCCAGCCAATCACCTAAGTTTTTTAAAGTTATTTTAAACTAGTTATAACAGAATATATAAACTAAGATAGCTCTTTAAAAGAGAACCTTTAGGCTGGGCATGGTGGCTCATGCCTGTAATCTTACCACTTTGGGAGGCCGAGAAGGACAGATCGCTTGAGGTCAGGAGTTTCAGACCAGCCTGGACAAAATGGCAAAACCCCATCTCTACTGAAAATATAAAAATTAACTGGGCATGGTGGCACATGCCTGCAATCCCAGCTACGTAGGAGGCTGAGGCAGGAGAATCTCTTGAACCCGGGAGGGGGAGGTTGCAGTGAGTAAGATCACGCCATTGCATTCTAGTCTGGGCAACAAAGCAAGACTGTCTCAAATAAATAAACAAATAAATAAATAAATAAAAGGGAACCTTTAGTTTGAGGTAAACTGTATTGCTGCTTTTCAAAAAACTGTTAAGATTATTTTAAGTAACCTTTCTTTAACATTCAGTATACTGTTTATCTTATCCCAAGATTATTGCCGTTGATACACTGACATTTCCCAGTAGAACTTTACTCCGAACAGTTCAAGACAAGAAATTTCTGATCATGAGAGTTTCTTAGACAAATTATTGATTCATTTGACAAGAGTTTTTTAAATTTTTTTTTTTATTTTTATTTTTTTTGTGAGACGGAATCTTGCTCTGTCACCCAGGCTGGAGTGCAGTGGCATGGAGTTGCAGCTTACTGCAACCTCTGCTGCCCAGGTTCAAGTGATTCTCCTGCCTTAGCCTCCTGAGTCACTGGGCCTACAGCCACGCGCCACCGCGGCCAGCTAATTTTTTGTATTTTTAGCAGAGATGGGGTTTTACCATGTTGGTCGGGCTGGTCTTGAACTCCTGACCTCAAGTGATCCACCCACCTTGACCTCCCAAAGTGTTGGGATTACAGGTGTGAGCCACCATGCCCAGCCTAACAAGAGTTTTCAATAAGTATTTTTTGGTTGACTTATATTTGCCAATACCACACTAGATTTTAATAATAAAATAGTGAACAATATGGACTTTGTCCTTAGTTTATCAGTTTTTACACTCTCCGAAACACATGAAGAGTAACTACACTCCCATTAAGTCAACATCTCTGAAACAAGATGATACGATGATGTTTGGGGGTTTGGGGGGGTCTTACTCTGTCACCCAGGAGTGAAGTGGCACGATCTTGGCTCACTGCAACCTCTGCCTCTTGGGTTCAACGGATTCTTCCTCCTCAGCCTTCTGAGTGCCTGGGACCACAGACGAAAGCCATCAGGCCCAGCTAATGTTTGTGTTTTCAGTAGAGACAGGGTTTTACCATGTTGGTCAGGGTTGGTCTCGAACTACTGAGCTCAAGTGATCTGCCCCTGTGAACCTCCCAAAAGTGCTGAGATTGCAGACATGAGCCATGGAGCCTGGCAGATGATGTATTTTTAAGCACCTCTAGAATTATTCTATATTCAACAAATGAGAAGCTGTTAAAGACCAAATATCAAAATCTTCTCTGTGATACGGTTTGGAGATGATTTTTTTTCCAAAGGAAGAAAGTACAGATGGTTAATAGCGTCTATATTGAGTCTTCACAAACAGGATTCACTGAATTGTTTAAATAGCTAGCTAAATTTGTTTTATTATAGTACTGTAAGCTTATTGTAAGTAACATCATGTCATGCTTCTGATGTTATTGAAATTCCATTATGCTAAAATACAAAGTATTTTTATTCATGGAGAACTTTTAATCAAGACAGATAAGAAAACACTTTATTTATGCCTCTTCTGCATTTTAGGAAATAAACAGCAGCACAATAATACTTATGTTGCTTAGTAAGTTTTTACTGAATTGAGTAAAAAAAGAAAGGGACAAAAATGGGCTATGAAAAGTTCTATTTTGCTCAATATAAACTACACAACTTTCTAAAATCTAGACAGTTACAATTGGAGTGATAACACCATAAAAGCACATTTTCCCCATTAAAGTAATTAACACTTTTTGGTTTTAGGAATTGGAACGAGCATGGAGAGAATATGATAAGTTAGAATACGACGTGACTGTTACCAGGAACCAGATGCAAGAGCAGCTAGATCACCTTGGTGAAGTTCAGGTACAAAAGTATAATATTCTTTATATTGTTTTAACTGGTTTTTACTGGTACTGTGTAATCCACCTTGTTAGATTTATGCATACCCTTAACAGTTTTTACATTACTGGCTACCTGAAACCCGGATTTGAATACTTTTAATGACAGCAATCTTATCATCTTACGAAGTATCCCATCCCCTCTTGTTTAAGAGTTCTTTGTTCTGTTGGGCACATGGTGAGCCCTGGAGTGTTCTGTGCTCCTAGTGGTCACAACTCTAGTTCCTAAAAACATGGCTTCATATCCTTTCACAAGTCTATCTGTGTCACTTGGTATTGAGATGTTGAATTACGGATTTATCAAATAATGGATATTTTATCTTTTCAATAAAATTATTCTAATCCATTCTGTGTTAAAAATTATATTTGGCCTGTTGTCATAACTGACATATTATTAGAAGGGGAAAATATAACACAATTTGCTATAAAGAATCTGGTTTATAAGCAAGCAGATCTGAGACCTAGTTCCAAGGGTGAGTTTTCTTATCTATAAATTAGCAGTAATAATACTTGGCCAGGTGCAGTGGCTCACGCCTGTGGTCCCAGCACTTTCGAGGCTGAAGTGGGTGGATCACCTAAGGTCAGGAGCTGGAGACCAGCCTGGCCAACATGGCAAAACCCTGTCTCTACTATAAATATAAAAATTAGCCAGGTGTAGTGGCAGGCAACTGTCTGTAATCCCAGCTACTTGGGAGGGTGAGGCGGGAAAATCACTTAAACGCAGAAGGTGGAGGTTGCACTGAGGTAAGATCACACTACTGCACTCCAGCCTAGGTGACAGAGCGACGCTGTCTCCAAAAAAAAAAAAGAAATAATAATACTTGTCTTAAAATGTTGCTCTAAGGAACAGATATGATATATGTTTAAGAAAACAATAAAAGTTAAATTATGCTTATGACCCAATGTAAATTTGGTCATTTTAGTTGGAAATGCATGGACTTAACAGACAAATCAATACAATGAATAAAAGATTAGCAAGTTTGAGACCAGCCTGACCAACATGGTGAAACCCCATCTCTACTAAAAAATACAAAATTAGCTGGATGTGGCGGCACACGCCTGTTGTAATCCCAGCTACTCAGAAGGCTGAGGCGGGTGAATCGCTTGAACCTGGTAGGTGGAGGTTACAGGGAGCCAAGATGATACCATTGTACTCCAGCCAGGGCAACAAGGGTATAGCTCCATCTCAAAAGAAAAAAAAAGAGATTAGTAAGGTTGAGTCAGAAAAATCAGCTGCCCTCTATCTGTACTGTCCAGTGTAGTACCGGCCACATGTAGTTGTTGGGCATGTGAAATGTGACTATTGTGACTATACAACTAAAACTGAACTTTTAGTTGTATTTGTGTTAAATATCTAAATTTATTTATTTATTTATTGAATCAGGGTTTTGTTCTGTCACCCAGGCTGGAGTGCAGTAATATGATCCTAGCTGAAACCTTGAACCCCTGGGCCCAAGTGATCCTCCCACCTCAGCCTTCCAAAGTGCTGGGATTGGCTGGGCGCAATGGGTCACACCTATAATCCTAGCACTTTGGGAGACCAAGGTAGGAGGATCACTTGATGCCGAAAGTTTGAGACCAGCCTGGCCAACATGGTGAAGCCCCACCTCTACTACAAATATAAAAGTTAGCTGGGTGTGGTGGTACGCACCTGTGGTCCCAGCTACTTGGAAGGCTAAGGCAGGAGAATCACGCAACTGTATGCTAGCCTGGGTGACAAAGGGAAACTCAAAAAAAAAAAAAAAAAAGTGCTAGGATTACAGGCATAACCAAGTCCAGTTTGTTTGTTGTTGTTGTTGTTTTTGAGACGGAGTCTCGCTCCGTCACCCGGGCTGGAGTGCAGTGATGCGATCTTGGCTCACTGCAACCTCTACCTCCCAGGTTCAAGCAATTATCCTGCCTCGGCCTCCCAAGGAGCTGGGATTACAGACACCTACCACCACACCCAGCTAATTTTGTATTTTTAGTGAAGACAGGGTTTCACCATGTTAGCAATGATGGTCTGAAACTCCCAAGCTCAGGTGATTGACCCATTTTAGCCTCCCAAAGTGCCAGGATCACAGGTGTGAGCCACCATGTCCGGCCAGTTTAAATGGCCACATGTGGCTGGGACTTCTGTATTGGACACTAAAGTTATACTGTCAGTAATCAGCTACAGGCTTAGACCAATTACATAACAACTCTGGGTCTCAGTTTCTACAACTATAAAATAAAATAATAATACTTACTCCTACTAGGTTATTATAAGGATAAATATGTTTATATTTTTGCATGTAGAATAAAACCAGGCACATAAAATGCGCTATATGTTTGTTAAATAAATAAGCAAGGAAACATAATGTAAAACTATAGTTTTAAACATAGTACAGGAAAAAAAATAGACCAATGGAACAGAATAGTTTAGCAGCAGACCGTGAATATCCACAAAGCAGAGAGAGAAAGAGAGAGAGGGAATTGTTGAACAACATCTGGCTTTATCAGTTAAAGACTTACCCTCAATGAAGGCAACATAGACAAAGTAAAAAAGATGACCTTCTGGGGAAATGTATGTTTGACCTCAAATATGTAACAAGGGATAACTATCTAGATTTTCAGGGAAGTTTTTCTTTCTGATTTCGAGAAATAGTCCATTAGAAAAACAAAAAGGATATGAGTAACTAATCATAGGAAAACTCAAATTACTATCAAGTGTTTGAAAAATAGTTCAGAGTTGGCCAGGCACAGTGGCTCATCCCTGTAATCCCAGCACTTTGGGAGGCCGAGTCAGATGGATCACTTGAAGTAAGGAGTTCGAGACTAGCCTGGTCACCATGGCAAAAGCTTGTCTCTACTAAAATACAAAAAAAAATAGTTGGGTGTGGTGTCACATACCTGTAATTCCAGCTACTTGGGAGGCTGAGGCAAGAGGATTGTTTGAACTCGGGAGACAGGTTGCAGTGAGCCAAGATCGCACCTCTACACTCCAGCCTGGGTAACAGAGTGAAAGTTGGTCTCAAAAATGAAAAAAGAAAAAAAAAAAATAGTTCAAAGACAGTAGTAACTAGAGAAATGCAAATAAAACGAAAATTAGATTTGCATTATATACCCTTCCAAATTGGCAAAAATGTGTGTATACATATATATCTTTTAAATTTTATGAAAAAGTAATGCATGTTGTATATAGATGTGTAAGATCTGATATTTATAGCGATCTTCCCATCCTCTATGTCAGTATTTATAGCTCTGGGCTGTCACTGTATTTGGCTCTTGCATGAGTACTTTCTCTTTTTTACTTTTTGATGCTTCCAGGCTGTAGCTGGGAAAACTAGATAACTTAGGTTATGCAGTTCCTTTTTGGAGCTGCATTAGTTCATAGTCTTCAGGCTTATAGACTCTTTTTTCTTGAGTTTTTTTTTTTTCCTTTTTTTTTAAATCTTTTAATCAACTCCCAAGTGCTTGGAAGACTTTGAAAATGTATTTTTTTTTTTTTCTTCCCTGACTCTGTCACCCAGGCTGGAGTACAGTGGCATGATCTCTGCTCACTACAGTCTCTTCCCCCAGGATCAAGTGATCCTCTCACCTCAGCCTCCCAAGTAGCTGGGACCACAGACATGCACCACCTCCCCCAGCTAAGTTTTTGTATTTTTGGTAGAGATGGGGTTTTTCTATGTTGCCCAGGCTGGTCTTGAACTCCTGAGCTCAAGCAATCTGCCCACCTCAGCCTTCCAAAGTGCTGGGATTATAGGTGTGAGCCACTATGCCTGGCTGAAAATATATTTCTACCCCTTAGAGGACTTTATAGCATATTGATGTAATACCGATTATATTATAATATCTATAGTCATTAATAATTGATACTCAGTGAAAGAAAATATTGTTCTAGGTGATGTGACAGTTTTTATATGCCATTCCCTATTTTTAAAGATAAAGTGGGCCAGATATGGTGGCTCACACCTGTAATCCCACCACTTTGGGAGGCTGAGGTGGGTGGATCACGAAGTCAGGCAATCGAGACCATCCTGGCCAACATGGTAAAACCCCATCTCTACTAAAACACAAAAAATGAGCCGGGCGTAGTGGCAAGTGCCTGTAGTCCCAGCTACCTGCTAGGCTGAGGCAGGGGAATCACTTGAACCCAGGAGGCGGAAGTTACAGTGAACGGAGATCATGCCACTGCACTCCAGCCTGGCAACAGAGCAAGACTCTGTCTCAATCAGTCAATAAAAATAAAGTGGACTGGGTATGGTAGCTCACGCCTGTAATCCCAGCACTTTGGGAGGTCAAGGCAGGCAGATCACGTCATTGGGAGTTCGAGACCAGCCTGGCCAACATGGTGAAACCCTGTCACTACTCAAAATTCAAAAATTAGCCAGACATGGTGGTGTGTGCCTATAATCCCAGTTACTCAGGAGGCTGAGGCAGAAAAATTGCCTGAACCTGGGAGACGGAGGTTGCAGTGAGCCAAGATCGCACTATTGCATTCCAACTCTGGGCAACCAAGCAAGACTTCATCTCGCAAAAAATAAAAAATAAAATGAAGTTACATTCCTAGAATAGTGTTTATTGTTATCCAGAATGGTGTTATTGTTACCTTATTTATGAATAAGAGTCATAGAGTTCTAATAGAATCTCAGAGAAAACCAATGTAATCTTATTTTGGTTTCAGTTAGGGTACTTAATCTGAGGGCATGTAATGGAATATTAAAAGTTAAGAAAGTGGATATGACTTAGAATAGAATAAAAATGGCAGTGATAAATTTAAATTCCAAAATTAAAAATTTGTCTTACAAGTACATTTAAACTGTGGCCAGGCACAGTGACTCATGCCTGTAATCCCAGCACTCTGGGAGGCCGAAGTAGGCGGATTACCTGAAGTCAGGAGTTCAAGACCAGCCTGGCCAGCATGACGAAACCCCATCTCTACTAAAAATACAAAAATTATGGCATGCGCCTGTAATCCCAGCTACTCAGGAGGCTAAGGCAGCAAAATCACTTGTGCCCAGGAGGCAGAAACTACAGTGAACTGAAAGCTTGCCACTTGCATTTTAGCCTGGGCGACAGAGCAAAACTCCGTCTTAAAAAAAAAAAAAAAAACAGGCCGGGCGCAGTGGCTCAAGCCTATAATACCAGCACTGTGGGAGGCCGAGGCGGGTGGATCACAAGGTCAAGAGATCGAGACCATCCTGGTCAACATGGTGAAACCCCGTCTCTATCTCTACTAAAAATACAAAAAATTAGCTGGGCATGGTGGCGCGTGCCTGTAATCCCAGCGACTCAGGAGGCTAGGGCAGGAGAATTGCGTGAACCCGGGAGGCGGAGGTTGCGGTGAGCCGAGATCGCGCCATTGCACTCCAGCCTGGATAACAAGAGTGAAACTCCGTCTCAAAAAAAAAAAAAAAACGTTTAAACTCTTGTCAGTCAAAACTCATCTGAATATATTTCATTAGTTGTCCCTTTGTTGTTGTTTTTATATTCTAGAACTTAGGAAGTTAGTATACCTTCCATTTCTTATCCTTTCCCCGTCTCCCCCTCCTAGAAGTGGTTTTTTATTTTGGCATTTGTTTCTATTCTGTTTTCATTTTCTCTGTTTGTGTTTTCCATTTTTGGTCCCTTTTAATCAATATGCCTTCCTGGGATCATAAATAATGCAAGACAAAGCTTATTGGAAAGATTTAAAATATTATACTTCAGTATGAAAATTAAGTATTTTTTTTTCCTCTGCTCAGTCTTTTTTTTTTTTTTTTTTTTT